CGCCGACACCGAGATTTGCGCCCAAATGTGGACAATAGGCGGACAACACGTGGACAGCACCCGATCCACCCCTGAAGGCCACCAACTGTTGGCCACACATTTCAAAGGGTTTCACACCATTGAGGGGCAGATCTCTCGACGGCATTATAACAATCCATGTGTTTGGGTATTGAAGGTTTTCAATGTTAGCATTTGTATCATGATCAGGGAATTGCATTTAACTATACCACCTATTTTTAGCGGTTCATAGCTTTACCCCCAGACTCGGGATGTGAACCGATCATGTATTGGGGGTCAGTTTACCGAAAGTTTATTTTAGCTATATTTAACTATTTGAGGCGTTTGTAACTATTTGAACGTTTATTATCTAATAAGTAACTATTTAACACATTTGTCAAGTTTTTGGTATATTTTAGTATAAAACATAAAGAAAATTACAACTTAATTTACATTTGTTAGTTAGCAAAAAGTTTAAATAGAGTAAACTATGACAAATGTAAAGGTTATTATAAAATATTGCAATAATTTATCATTCAAAGCGATAGAATGACCAAAATTATGAGTTGTATGTATTTAGGGTTTTGACCAAAATAATTAAAAATATTCTTAAATACAGTTAATTTAGTTAAATACAAGTGATTTAGCTTAAATACAGTTATATTTAACGTATTAAAGAGTAAAACTGACATTTGGTAACATTTTATATCATTTTTAAGCCTATTTTGTCTAATTTTAAGTAACTATTTAAGTAACTATTTGGACTGTTTTTCGTAACTATTATAGTGACTATTTCGTGTCTTATAAACACCTATAATGCAATGCTCTGGTTATAATTCATTTTAAAGTGATTTAAATTTATAATTATTGTGTTTAAACTGAATAAACGTTAATTCCCGAATATTCCCGAATTTGACTGTTTTACTCCCGGTTCCCGACCGAATTTGGTGGTTTTTAGTCCCGAAAAATCTTTGCTCTAATGATTACATCCATTTAAATAACAATAAGCATGGTAAAATATCATCCTAATATTGTTATTATTAAAACAACTTTTTTGTTCATTGTTTAGCTAACTCACAATCATAAATAACTATAACCAAGATCAAATGTGATCTAAAAATGTGGCTAGTTTACCTGTAGCGCGAAAAGGCCCATGGTGGCCAAACCGATCCACGAGTGTATTGAGTAGAAGTGAGGTGAGGGCAGATCCAGGGGTGACATGTGTTGGGCCTGAATGCCAACAATGGCTCCAAATGTGATGAGAGATGTGGACAACAGGAAGAATATGCAATGCGTTATCTTATTGTAGATCTTCTTACAGCACAAGAATGTCTTATAGATCAACATCGCTGTCAATGGGAGAGAGAATTGAGATAGGTTAGTTTGTGTGTGCACTTGATTGCCATGGTCATGTTTAATTAGTTTATATAAATTGTTTTGTTAAATAGTGATTTATTTATAACCCTCTGGGTGTTTGTTTTTTGTTTTAATTAGCCCACGCACAGTTTTGGTTGTTTTTTGATTTATCTAGTTTACTTAATACAATTTATTGCATTTGCTTTTTATTTAGTGGTTTATAAAGTTTTATTTAACTTTATTTAAATATAGTTATTATTTATATTGTAATTACCGATACTTTTAATGACATAAATACCTATTTTGTGGGTTAATTAGCATTTTTAAACATTGATTAACTATTTTATATTGTGTTTTCAAAATAACCACATGGGTTTATATTTGTTTTGCCATTATATTCAAGATTATATTATCGATTTAATCAAATAAATGCATGAAAATACAAACTTATCAATAGAGAATTAACTAATACCGATACGATCATGTTGAATTAATCGTAGACAATTAGGGTAAAAGCAAAACAAAAATATACAAATAAATCTAAATATAAATTTATACTAAATTAAAAGTTTATAATCAATACATTTAAATATAAAACAATTATATAATCTTTATACACTATTACCGTTAACATCTGTCCTATTGTTAATTTGCGGTACACTTAACACACGTTATAGTGAATGGCATTCAATATAAACAATAACTACATTATAATTGTTTAAGAAATACTATAAATAATATCCCAAAATCTAATCAGACATACAATTAAATTAATCTAATAATAGCCTAGAAGTGCATTGTTTGGGCTTTTAATTAAACAATGCCACTTTTGTTAAACATTACTTATCATGCGCTAAATTCATACATTAGGTAATACAGTAAAGTGATTGACTGATCACTAGTTAAAAACCAATATTGATTTGGTGTGTATTTTAGTAATTTAATTAAGGGTTTGACTGTACTTAATACAGTTGATGCCTCTATTATGCTGTCACTAATCCCTTATAATGAACTCGTTTTTATTATTATATTTGTATTTCAAATGTCAATAAAGTTTTAGATATACAATTTGATAAGTTATAACATCGTGATTGTATTAAATTGTTAAATTTGATTTATATTGTAAGTATTTAAAAGCTATTTGTTTAATATTGTACGCAAAAAGTTACCAGACTAACTCTGTTTGAGGTATACCTCATATAGTGAACCATTTTATAGTGTATTTGCTTAATATATTCAGAAATCATCATATTTAAATAACAATTTATTGTTCAACTTTATTTCCTAGTAAATTATCATGGTTTTATTCGTAAACTATTAGAAAAATTATGTTAAAGTTGTCGGTAAAAAATACTATCATAATTTAATGTTACATTTAGATATTAAAAATTATCAAGATAAATGCAAACTAAAATACAAGTTACTGATTTTGATATACTGGATAATTGTAATTTAGAGAAAGTTTTGTATATTTAGTTATTAAAATAATTAGATTAAACTAAACAACTTTATATAAAATAATTTCTATCACTAACATAGTTAGTTAATATCTCAGTTAGTGTACAGAATAGGAATAGTTCAGTTAATTTTATCTACTTTTTTAAAATAATATTTATTTATATTTTGTTTAATTAAAATTTAATTCCATGCTTATTTTAACGTAACGGTAATCGTGATAAAATTAAAATTATAAATAAATCTATAAATAATGTTTACTATTTTAAATATATACAGTGCATTATACAGATTAAGTACATTATACTGTAATAATTATGAAATATAATGCAATTAACAAATATTTTATTGTTTTTTCGGTGTTTCTAATCATAGATTAGATAATGTGATAGAAAAATAATATTGAAAGCAAAACATTAAAATTATTTTTCATAATAAAAATGCCAATAATTAATGTACTTTTGATTATAAAAACATACAAAATACAAACAACTCATGTAATCAATCATAGATTTAATGTAAAATAAAACAAATTAATGATTAAATGCTTGGAAAATAACTTATCTATAAAATTGCATGTAAAGTATTTAATAATTATAAAAATTATTGCCTAAAATATATTGAATTATATATTAATGGCAATTATTTGACGATAAATGATTAATAAATAATGTTCTACACCACTTATAGCTACATGGATTTTTACGCTACATTTTCATCCGGGTTAATAAATTATAATTTATGGTTTGTAAACCAAAAACAACCAATGTTAAATAATAAATAAAACAACTATAAATATATGCACGTCTAAAAGCAAACCATAAAACAAAACAAAAATTCAATCTAGCTAAAAAATATTAATGTATGCACTACAAAGTATAATCAGGCATAAAATGAACCCCGATTTAACTGCACTAAACTCAACCAAACCATAAACATTTAAACATGGATAATTAATACCAAAAATACATACCCTGGCCATTGAGAAAAATGAACCCGGTGAGCATGAGAAAAGCGTGCAGGTTGAACATTTTGCGTTTATCATGTTGCCAGGCGAAACCCTTGTCAAACTTGAGCACCCAATACAGGAACAGCAGGACTGCGCCCCAGAGACCCATTTGGGCGAAACACCACATTAGGCCGAAACAGAAGCGCGAAAAGCCCGACATTTCCTGATAGTCGGCGTCGCTATCGCTGCCACTGTTTTGGTGTTTGACGTAGTCTTTCGGACGACTGGCCGAGTGGTTGGTGTGGTGTCCGACCGCCGACTGGTGGTGAGCCGCCAGATGTTCCCGTTGTTGGTGGTGCTGCTCGTGCTGTCTGCGACTGTCATAGATACAAATTATGGTCAATTTAGTCAAATTTATTAATAATAAATTATTATATATTTATTTGTTGTATTAATACTTTTTAAAAATCAATATTTCTTGGTTTAATGGCATGAAATTGTTTTTAGTATCTAGATACTTTTAGTAGCGATTGTATGCTTGTTCTGTTTGGTGGAAATACTCGCTTAATCACCATGGAAGTAATATTTAGTTTAATTTAGTATGTTTATTTTCTGTATGTGTGTACGTGTTTTACATAGTGTACACACTTTTGTTTAGCTAAATAATAAGCTTTCATTATATGTTTGGTTACATAATTCGCATGAATAGAGAGAGAGAGAGAGAGAGAGAGAGAGAGAGATAATCTGATGATTATTTTCACTGTTTTTGGCCTAAATGTCAATACAAAACACAATCGAAAGGCGATCTTAAAATACATCATTTAAAGCATTCAATAATAAAGCCATTTAAATGTGATTTTAATAATTGTAATAAAACGTTCAAAACGAGATCACATATAAATCGACACAAAAATAACATTCATTTAAATGTAAGATTTATTTGCGATTTCAATGAATGCCACAAAAGTTTTGCGCAAAAATCACATTTATTTCTCCACAAAAGTTGTGTTCATTTAAATGAAAGGAAATTCAAATGTAATGAAGAAAATTGTAGCAAAATATTTAAATCGGAACAGAATCTAATTCGACACAAACGCATACATTCGGGAGAAAAACCATTTGTTTGTCATTTCAATAATTGTAACAAAACATTTTTACAAAAATGTAATCTTAGAGATCACATGAAAAGACATCTGAATATAAAAAGTCATAAATGTATTCATAATAACTGTAATCAACGCTTTGTTACGTCAACTGAGTTGAGAAAACACATTAAGAATAATCACATTAAATTTTAATCATTTATTTTTAATTTATCACCTACTCGTATTATTGTTTTTATATATTTTGTAACATTATAATTAACTTTTAATTAAATAAATTAATTTTTAAAAATTACTAAAATAGAGACAATTTTACTCAAAAGCACACATTCTGGAGAAAACCCATTTATTTGTCATTTCAATGATTGTAATAAACGTTTTACACAAATGTGGAGTTTATTGAAACACAAGAGATGTCATAAGAAATTAAATCTATTTTAATATAAATATACGTGTATATTTATGTAATTCAATTATAATATTTAACATATTTTATTAATTAAGTTTATGTGAAAAAATTTCAGTTTAAGTAAAATCTTTTATTTTATTTTGAGATGAAATACAAAATCAAAAATTACTAACAAAATAACTATTAATTTAGAAACTTTTAAATTAAATTCAGTGTAATTATAATTATTTTTCAGACCATATAATCAATGTATGTTTATTTATGAGTTACAGACATGTATTAATTAAATCATATAATTATCATAATTAAAGACAATCAAAAAATATAATGATTGAACGGAAAAATTATTTACAAAAAATTAAAACAAGTAATAATAATAATAATATAAAATAAAAGGCACTTATAATTAAAGCCAAATAAAACAATTATAATTATACTTAAAATGATATATTAAATCATAAGACAAAGGCATTGATTAAAACATATAATTAAATTAAACGAGCTCTCTCCATTCATTGTAGTATAACTATTTAAAGTTGATTATAATTTAATTTTCACAGTTTTATATAAATCGAAAAAACACAGATTAAACTAACCATGGTATTTTTAATTAATAAATACCAGCCCTTCATTAAAAATATAATATTTTATAATTGTTGGTAACGCTATTTGGTGTACATTATATGATTGCTAAACTAAATTGTATTAACATGTACGTTTATGAATTAAACTAACCGTGGTTTAACACTATTATTTTATACCAGGTAGTTTAAATAATGTAATTTACATTAGTATTATGTAGTGTACAATAATTGTTAATAAAGTGTATATAAAAACCATATATTTATGAATTTTCATTTAAATTATAACAACAATTAGCGGTTATATTGAATAAAAGTCATAATTTTTACTCAAAAAATATCATTTCATTTATAAAGACAGAAATTATTGTAAATTTATATTAAACTAAATTATTATTAGTTTTAATGTAACGAAAATTTGTATATAAATTGTGTAAATCCTTTTAACATTAATTCAGTGTAAAATTAAATCACTTTTTTGTGTGCATAAAATTGATTATAAATATAATTTTAATTGTAAACGATATAATTAATAAAATATAACCCTCATACATTTAATCGCACTCCCGTATTATAAACCCCGATAGTATTTTAAATTTAATTATTATTAGTGTACATAAAAAATGTGTAAACATATTAAACCCGGGTGTGTGCATTTTTTTGTGTGTAAACAATTTTAACTTGGTAAATATTATTTCATGTTATTGCTGTATCGAGTGTGCATGGGCAAACAAAATTTTAGTTGACACTGAACGAGGCCACATTTCTACGTTGCGTAAAGTTGCGTATAATGTATGGTATAATAATGGCCAAGGTGATCAAACACACGCCCACCATGTTGATCACCATACCCGGGTTCAGGAATGGATTCACCGGGTTTAGTATGTTCTTGTAATCAGGCTTTTCCGGCTCCAAAGGTGTCGGACCACTAGTGAACATAAATACGGGGATTAGTGTACTATTAATATAATTAAAAATAATTTTAATCTTACAATTAATAATTAAAATAAAGTTATTAGTAATTATTTAGTTTAGAAAATTACTATGATAATTATTAATATTAATTTAATTGAATATTCTTAATTCTTTATTGCTATAGTCACTTAAAAGTATTGGAATAGGATCAAGTGGTAATTAATTTTGGACATATGCCTAATAATAATTAAAATTTAATTATTATAAATAAATAAAATAATTGCAATACATTGTAAAATGGCTTATTATTTTCTTGTTATAAATATCTATTTTAATTTAATTAAGATTTAATATTATTTTTAGCTAATAATTAGATTTAAAAATCAGATAAAAGCTATTCCATTATTTAAAACTATTAAAAATTATACATGAAACTAAATTTCGTTTATACATTAAATATAATTGCGATTAAACACTAGATAAAAATCAAAACTAATGAGTGAAATACATACCTAAGTCTTGATCGGGCGGTCTGTATGAGGCCAGTGAGACAGCCAGCGATGGCCAGCGTATAGATAATGATACCCATAGTCTGATGGGTGGGCAGCACTCGGGCCCGGAAACCAGCCGTCGCTTTCTCACAGCATAACAGCACCAGAAATGTGATGAAACCAAATAGAAACTGTAATTTAAATATTACATGTTAATTATACATCATATATGGGTAGTGTAAATAAATAAATTTGGATTGTTACTAGCTATTGAATAATTATAATTACTAATAAATTTTTTACTGGCATAACTCTAAACTCTAGATGATTACTAGAGCAGAGATAATTCGAGAATTCCCGAATAAAATTAGTTAGTAAAATGTTCGGGAATAACATACAGTTGGTTTTGGAGGTTATAATGGATTAAAAATATACTATTTTTATTTTCCCGAATACTCCCGATTTTGGCATATTTTAAGAATATTCCCGATTTTAGCCTATTTCAAAAATATTCCCGATTTTGACATATTTTAAGGGAAATCCAAAAATTTTATTTAAAATAGGCTAAAACACACTCTTTTGTCAAGAAAAACTAAAAATATTACTATAAAAATTCAAAAAATTTTGAGATAAGATGTCTAACAAAATATACACCAAATCAGTTTGACCATGTTGAACGAATTTTCTTTCAATTTGAGAATAATCTTACAAATAGAAGACAGACTTTAAGAGTAAAACTTCAATTCCTATGTCATTCTACCTGTTATAATCAGGGAATTGCATTTACCTATACCACCTATTTTTAGCGGTTCATAGCTTTACCCCCAGACTCGGGATGTGAACCGATCATGTATTGGGGGTCAGTTTACCGAAAGTTTATT